TGATAATTATGAAATTGTGTCACTATTTCTAAGTTCACAGCCGGATTTTGATATATCTTGTTTATCAAACTCAACACTCACAGATGTGTCTGCACATCGTTCCATTGTCTCCATGGACGGAGATGTCGCTTGAGTCTCTAACGCAGAACAAGCTTCCAGACCGGCAAATAGAGCATTTGCTTGCCGCTGTAAGGCGTTGATGAGTCGGATTAAATTTTCGAAGTTCTCTTCGCCGACGACCAACAAGGACCAGTGCAGCAGTAAAAGATCCGGCTCGTATTTTAAAATCAACCGCCTAAATGGATCTAGATCTCCGAGATCCATTGCAAAATAATTCAAAATCCCTAATTATTTTGGATTAAATAGTTTCCCGCTTGTGCTTGCCTTTTTATATCTTTTAATCCTAGCCGCAGATCTGGGAGCAGAACGGAGCCCTATAGCTGACAACACGGCACCAAATGCGGAAGGACGCACCAATCAGGGGACGACACGTGGCGCGGGGGGGGAGCGTCCCAATAATATTATAGGGACGCTCCTGGGATCATATATAAGTCACTCCCTCACTCTCTTCTACTAATAAAGTTTTTAGAGAGTGACTTGCGTCATCCAAGAGAGTGAGTGACGTTATTGAGAGTGAGTTATGGCCTCAATGCGACGTCGTTTTAGAGTTCAAAACAAGAACATCTTCCTCACATATCCCAGATGTTATGTACCTAATGAGAGATTGTTAGAGAAAATTAGAAAGTTGTTCACTAACAGGCCACCAAATTATGTGAGGGTTGCACATGAATTATACGAGGATGGTGAACCACACCTACATGTTCTCGTCCAATTTTCATACCGTTTTCAGACACAGGATGAACGGTTCTTCGACGTTACTTACGATCGCAATAATCGCCATTTCCATCTAAATATACAATGGGCCAACAACCATCAGGCTGTGCTGGAATACATCTCCAAATACGGGGACTACACGGAATGGGGTGAATTCCATGAGAGGGGTCGCTGCGCTAACAAGGACAACAAAGAAAATGTATATCACGAAGCTCTTGCAGCCGGAAGTAAAGAAGAAGCACTGGCACTGGTAAGAAATGGCGATCCAAAATGTTTCTGGTTAAATTATGACAAGTTGTCATCCAATTACGACATGATTTCATTTACTCCACCATTGCTGTGTGTTCATCAATTTACAGATACAGTATGGATCGTTCCAATAGCCATACAACAATGGGTTGCAGAAAATATAAGCGACGAAGCCTAAAGACCACACAGGCCCAAGAGCATTATAATTGAAGGCCCATCTAGAATTGGAAAAACATGTTGGGCCCGATCTTTGGGGCCGCATAATTATTATTCCGGTCACATCGATTTGAGGGACCACAATGACGAGACTTTTTACAACATAATCGATGATGTGGCCCCGCAATATTCGAAACATTGGCTGGAATTTATTGGAGCGCAATGAGATTTTTTTTCAAATTGTAAATATGTCCGCTCAAAGAAAATAAAAGGCGAGATTCCAAGTATTATATTATGCAACCCCGAAGCCGATTCTAGTTACAAAGAATTTTTGGAAAAACATGAACACGCCGGGCTCCAAGTGTGGACGATCCGAAATGCAGAGTTCTATACACTCAGTCAGCCTCTCTTCGCCAGAACCGATCAAGAAGAGGCATCGCAATGAGAAGAAGAAGGCCCAATGCAGGAAGATATTCCATTTCCAATGCGGCTGTTCGATATTCCATACGAACGGATGTATCAAACCACATCCACTGGGAGAGAGAAGATGCTGTCAGGGGTCATCTACGACACTTTGAGGAACCCGATGTGGTTCAGAGCCGTAAACATGTCCATGCCGGGGAATCAAGAGGTATACAAGATATAATGCCTGTTCAACTACAACATCCGGAAAGCGCTGGGAGTCCAGACGTTCACTGTCACAATGTATACGTGACTGACATACAGCGGTCTCAGAAGCCTGACGGAGACTGTATTTACCCAATTTATTGCACGCAAGATGACGAACAAATTATCCAACTTTGGAATTATAAGCCTTGTAAATTATTGTCTCGCATTGACCATTGTACTCGACGAGCTTTCATATTATGTAAAAGATTGACGGTGGGAAAATATTTATGTACATTTTCATGATTAATTAATAATAAATGTTGAGATACATTTAATTAATGTGATTATTGGTTTGGATCGACAACAAATTATCTACATTGGCCCAATTACACTGCTGCAAATTAAGAGGCCAGAGGCCTATATAACGTGACAAGGCCCATAACATCTCCAATGATTTTCATAGGCCCATTATACATAGGCCCATCTAAACTATGAAAGAAGTGGACACTAGTTTGGGGCGGCCAAGTAGTTTGTAAGGGCGCATTTGAATTGTGGATTGAAATATTTTGATAAGTGAGGCCGGATCCAATAATTCTAAATCATCAAGGCTCACTACGGATGAGGCGTCCAAATTAGTAGCAGAAGCTGTAAAGGCCGCAGTCAAAAGGATCCATATCAGCCCAAAAAATAAATGTACAACGGAGGCCGATGTAAAATACGTTGTAATCAATTATTTTATTAATAACAATATTTCAATCTACAATTCAAATGTGCCCTTACAAATGATTTTGTGCGACATTCCCACACAAAATAATAAATAATTGCGTTTTTTACAATATTATTATACGCGCCGTTCAACACACAAAAACTATCTCAGAATTCAGATACAACATTCTTTCCGACGTTGATAAATGTTTTCACGCCTTGATGGCTATCGACTGAATATTCAGTCGATTGCGGCGACATTAAAACAGAGACACGTCGCAATATTGTACAACAGAGGCCGATGTAAAATATGCTGTAATCAATTATTTTATTAATAACAATATTTCAATCTACAATTCAAATGCGCCCTTACAAACGATTTTGTGCGACATTCCCACACAAAATAACAAATAATTGCGTTTTTTACAATATTATTATACGCGTCGTTCAACACACCAAAACTATCTCAGAATTCGGATACAACATTTTTTCCGATGTTGATAAGTGTTTTCACGCCTTGACGGCTACTAATTTATTTTCATATAATTATTAACAAACTAACCGATAAGGAATCAAATGATTACCACTTTATATTTAAAAATTAATACTACTAGGTAATCAAAATGATCATATTTTGGTAGGGGTTCGTATGATAAAGAGAGAAGAGAACCCTTCGTTTCCTTCTTTGCCCCCTCACAACTAACTTTCCTTTTTATTTCTCCTGCCCTGAGCCCAAATAGAGTGTAAACAAATGTAAAAATGAGGATATGTTTGGTGGTTGGTATAAAAAATAAAGTTAATATGTGTATTATTTGGGCATTATATTTTATTATTTTTTTGATGTGTTGTGTAGTAATAAAATTTTATATGTGATTTTAAGAAGTTTATATTTTCATGCAACTATTCTTCTATATGCATATTTTTACTGAGTTCACATACTAAATAATTCCATTGTTACTCATTTACACAATTTTATCCCAAAATTTCCATTATAAACCTCCTACCTCCCAAACTAATGTAGTTACTGGCCACCATCTATTACTGTCGTCACTAGCATCGGTGCTGGCATTACCTCTTTTCTTTTTTGGTCTTATGCCACTTCTAGTCCTGCCTCTTCCCTCTATAGTGCCAATCTCCACCTTCAACCCCTCTCTAGCCCTTTATTTACCTACCGACATGAATATTGCGCGAAGGGTGAGCGACCACAGTAATAGAGATCACGAAGGTGAAGGGGTTGCGAGCAGTGGACATCATGACAATAAGGTGCATTAGAGGTATAAAAGGTTCACTGGAGGTGGAGAGGTGGGGAGATGGTTGGGGTGGTCGGATAAGAGACCGACAGTTGCGACAATGATAGCGACGATTAATAGTTGGGTTTAGAATGAAAAGTTAGAGTTTGAGAATTAAGATTTTAAATGATAAATATAATATTATTTTGATAATTTTATTTTATTTTGATAGCGACAATGTGGGTCTCCTACCCATATGAGATATTTGGTAGAATTTTTAATATAAATTTTTGGATCTTTAGCATTTTTGAAGAAATATTCATTAAGGATGTGGATTGAGTGAATTTAATGTGTGCAAATAGAGATGATGTGATTTTAGGGTCATGTTAGAGATACTATTTTCTACCAAATAAATGATCAAATGTCTCACATAAATGTGAGACCTGTAATTTTGGACTATTTTGGGAAGTTGGCTTTTAGCCACTTTTTTTGGTTTGTAGCAAAAGCCAAAAGTTGACTTTTTTGTCTTTTTTTTTTCATTTGGGAAGTTGGTTTTTAGCCAACGGTGAAATTACAATTTTACCCTCATGAGTCAAAATGTGTTACATAGGTGAAGTTGTAAATATTTTAAATAAATGGGGGTAGTTTGGTCATTTTATTATGATTTGACATCATAAACAAACATTAATAAAAAAAGCCAAAAAGTCACTTTTTACCAACTTGCCAAATCATTTGTCTAAAAAAGTCAAAAACTTGGTTAAAAGTCAAAAAGCCACTTTTTACCATCTTCCTAAAATAAGCCTTTGTAAACCCCACATCCATATAAGATATTTGATTATTTATTTGATAGAAAATTTAGGATTTATAACATTTTTGGTGATGTTATGTCTTAAATAAAATCACCTTGCTATAATACATTGCTAAGGTCTCATTAAATAACAATAGGGTCTCATTAAGTGTAATGTTAGAGGTCTCAAAAATTTTATAAATTTTTTTATTAAATATTTTATATGAATATGAAACTCACACAAACAAACACAGTGGAGTCTCGGACCATATAAGATAATTAATAAAATTTTGAATATAATTTTTGGGTCTCTGGCATTTTTGTCTCGTTCAATTACCCTATCTGAGGTCTCATTAAATGACAACTAATAGTAATAATAATCAGGGGTCAATTACCCTATCTGAGGTCTCATTAAATGACAACTAATAGTAATAATAATCAGGGGGTGTCCAAGTAATTTGGGGCCACGGCGTTTGTCGCGCTGTTCAGGAATCAAAAAACAGAGAACAGGCCACGGGCCAATCGTTCGATCTCTCTCTCGCCTCGGATCTTCAATTACAGGGACATAGATACATTGTTCTTAGGGTTTGTCCTTCATGTCCTCTCTTTCTACCCCTTCCCGATCTTCTAATTTTTTTGAATTTTCGGTTTTTCTTGGTGAATATACACATAATAATTCATATACATAGATAGATTTCACAATTTGAAAATGGCGGGCCCGAACCAGACGCCGAATACGGATCTATTCGATGCCTACTTTCGGAGAGCAGATTTGGATCACGACGGTCGGATCAGTGGTGCTGAGGCTGTTTCCTTCTTCCAGGCCTCCAATTTGCCCAAACCAGTCCTCGCTCAGGTTTTTTCTTACTACTACTACGTGTTCTCTGTTTTCAATCCAATTAGGTTTCACAATGTGGACAACTTGACCATACACGAAACATATTGATATTGAATTTCGCATTTTTTTCTTTACCTTGAAAATAAATTTTTAATTTTTAATTTATTTATAACATCTATAAGACCAGCGATACTGTCCTGGACAGAGAGTTGGGCAACTAAGAAACAGTATGTGTATAAAATGTGCGTAGCTCAAATGAGAATGTGTATATGAACGTGTAGTAAGACTAGAAAAGAATAATTATAAATGAATATATTTGTGAAATTGTGGAGTAGCACCTATTGAAGATAAACTAAGAGAGAACATGTTTTGATGGTTTAGTCATGTACAATACAGACATGTAGATGCCATGGTAGGGAAGAGTGATAGGATCACCATAAGTGGAGACACTAGGGGGAGGGGAATATCTAAGTTGACAAGGATGCGTTAGTGTAAAAAGATATAAGATTTGTTTAATTTAACTGAGCGTATAATCCTTGATAGAGCTAAATAGAGAAAAGAATCCATGTAGCCAATCTCACTTGATTGGGACACAAGGGTTAGTTTGGTTTGGTTCTTCTTTATTATACCTTACTATCATTTCAATTCATGGCTATTCACCATTTATTTATTGTTTTAATAATCCATTTGGCCTAGGTGTTACATTCAACACAAAATGTTATCAATTTCTTCTGCTTCAACTTCTATTTTTCCGATTCCTATCATTGTGAATAAATATGTGATGGTGATGCTATTTCTTTTTATATAAAATGCATTTACATTTACATTTACATTTACATATATTTATACATGCACATGTCATATAATTGAAGAAGGATAAGCATGAAAAGGAACCAAGTACATTAGATATTGGGGGTCGTTGTGTTTGCTAAAGAAGGTAGGATATCTATTTCAAAACATAGGAGGAGATGGCTCAAGAATGAAGTCGTCTAAAGCATTGGTATTTTTACTTACTACTGAATCGATCTTTTCTATTTGATGTTCGCAATACATGGCCTTTGACCTCCATGTGGATAAAAGGCTAATAGGATTGACATGAGAGCACAGGGACTGATATTCTTGAATGTGTCAATGGTTTATGTCTGTGTGTGTGTCTCTCTCTCATATTTAATTTCTGATATATTGGTATCTCATTCGTTGACTTGAGTTTTACTATACATTTCTAGGTTTTTTTAATGCATTTTCAGATGATCAGTAAAAGACTGACCATTTGGACTGTAGATTAGGGGTTCTGAGACTTTGGTTTTTGGGGGGCATTTTGATCGAATGTCAATATTTATGAATGGTTTCTTTTAGAGCTTTGTTTGTTGATTCCATGTTCCCCAGATTCTCTCTGTGTTTGGTTTAAAACCAAACATTGACTGAAACCCGATCAAAAAATTGCATAAAATGGGTTGTCGATTTCAAAACGTTGTTGATTAAAATCAGGTGATGGAATGTCCAACATGAAAGGATCAGTTTGGGTGGAGTGGCAACAATGAACTCAACCTGATCTGGCCTGTGAACAGCCATTGTGTGCCATGTAGGGGAACCATACATAAATTATTTTTAATTAACATTTGTTGGATAGTGGTAAACTTGTTATTAAAATTTAGGATTTAGGATGGTGATGTGAACACTTTCCATCCAGTTTATTAACGAACAACTAACAAGAGGGTGTCTTTGTATGACATAATTCTGAGCTTGGTAATTTCTTTATCTTAAATACAAGATGTAACATTTTGCTGAGTTTTAAGGAATTTGTTTTATTAGTATGTATATCTGCCATGGAAGTTTAGATGGCACTTACATCACATAAGAGAGCTAATTCATATCCTTCTATTGCTGCTTTATCCCTGCATATCTCTATGTACACGGTATATATGAACAAATGGGGTAGGTGATCATCCTGGAATGAAAAATTAATTTCCTGCTGTCACAAATTTTGTTGTTTTGTGCAATGTTGAGGGGTCAACTTCTTGTTAACTAATTCCATGTATGTCATAGCATACTTGATATACACAATTATGACATTTAATGATGGTAGATTAACTTTTTACAGACGTGGCATGTCCATTCCCTTGGTAAATTCTTATAGAAGGAAGATATGATTATAAATTATACATTTGCAAATCTTTGGATACTTGAGTAAAGCTTTCCTTCTCTGTTTGTGTGGAAGTACCTTCTAACTGGCAAGTTATTCTTGTGGCTCTTACGCAGATTTGGATGTTTGCGGATCAAAATAAAACTGGTTTCCTCAGCCGAACTGAGTTTTATAATGCTCTCAAACTTGTCACTGTGGCACAAAGTAAGCGAGACTTGACTTCAGACATTGTCAAGGCGGCATTATATGGTCCTGCTTCAGCTAAAATTCCTGCTCCCCAGATGAATTTTGCAGCCACACCTGCTCCTCCACCAAATCCTACAGTAGGTAGACCTGTCCCACAGTTGAGTGGAGCAACTCCAACGCCATCTCAAAATATTGGTGTCAGAGGGCCACAGGTATATGCAAATGCAAGCATGGACCAGCAGTTTTTCCCATCTCAGCAAAATCAACTGGGAAAGCCACCTCGACCCATGGCTTCCAGTACTTTTTACCGTGCACAGCAAGGTGGTCAAGGAATGACTGGGGCAGGTACTATTGCAGCTTCTCGTTCCCCGAGTACAAATATCTCCACGGATTTGCTTGGTGGAGGGACAGGTGGTCCCCCAGCAGGAGTAGCTACTCAAATTTCTAATAGAGGGATTAGTCCTACAACACAAGGTGGATTTGGGACGACAGCACCAGGTATGACACCCTCTGCACAACCTAGACCACAGGCAACCACTGGGCTGATGCAACCTGCTGCACTAAAACCCCTCGGTCCAACCTCGCCATCCTCCCAGGTGGGAGCTAGGGATTCTAAAGCTCTGGCTGTTTCAGGAAAGGGGTTTGCATCTGACTCGGTATTTGGAGATGTATTTTCTGTAACATCGTCTCAACCAAAGCAGGATTCCGTGGCACCTGCATCTTCTGCCACTAACTTACCCGTTGCATCAGCCATTGTTCCTGCTACTACTGGGCCTCAATCTACAGTTAAACCAAACCCACTTGGATCTTTACAGAGTGCCTTTGCTCAGCAATCGGTGGGCAGTCAGCATCAGCAAGTTCAGTCAACGGTCAAAGGAAACCAACAAGTTTCAGAGCAGAGTGCAACAACCTTGAGTTCCACTACTGCTGGTTTTCAAGCTGGAAATTCTGCTTCTGGCCAATCCCTGGTTCCATGGCCAAGGATGACCCAATCTGATGTTCAGAAATATACTAAAGTATTTGTGGCAGTAGACACAGATAGAGATGGGAAAATAACTGGTGAACAGGCACGCAATCTGTTCTTAAGTTGGAGATTGCCACGAGGTTGGACATGCTTTTTTTTAATTCTAGTTTGAATCTTACAGTTTGCCCCATTCTTTTAATATTTTTTTCTTAGAAGTTCAATTCTGTCTTCATCTAATATTTATTGCTTATTAAAGGTGAAAATATAGTGTGGGATAAATTAGAGAAGCACAATAGGTGTACTGTGGATGCAACTGGCTGCTAGCACTTAGTACTATTGCTTGCAATTGAGGACCTCATTTTTAATTCTATATGGATTGTCTGAATTGAACTGCATCATGACATAATATGTGATGTTCTACGCTCTGCTTCACAGATATAGATGGCTACAATGCCAACTATGTTTTATGGATAAGAAACAACATGTTTAAGAATATAATTAGCTAGAGGGAATGTCAAGATGGATGACTGGTGTTACTTGAGAATATAACAGAGATCAATACATGTTCAGGAAGTAAAAAAATGGTTGCATATTGATGATAAAACCAAGTATTTGCTTGAAATAGTTTGGCCTTGTGCAATGTGGAGTGGACCAACTGACACCTTGTATGTTGGAGTGATTTAATTTAATCTAATTTGAAGAAGCCATTAGGATGAGAGGAAGTCTAAAAGTTTAAGCTGTTAGAGAGAGACAACTTTATTATTTATTCTATACTCTCAACAATTTCATTATGGTTAAAAGATGTCACTGTTGAGTTGCAGATGAACTATTGAGTAATAAGCTACTTGTAATTATTCTATTATTTTACATTTTTATTTTATTTTATTGTGATATTTTCTATTTCTATTATTATATTTTTGACTCTCATTTCTCCTAATTCTTATAATATTCAAAGTCATTCCGATTCACCTATTTTGACATCTCTCTTGCTTTTGTGTTAGCCCAAAAATAAATTTTTGTTGGCGACAAGGCTGTTTCTCCATGCAAACCTAGCTTCTCATGTTTTGAAAGTTGAAATTGTTAGGATGAATTAAGCAATAAGTTGCAGGTATTCTCCTTATGCTGTAAATTCCAGATATGTAGAAAAGAGTTTAGGAAGGGGAAAAATCTTTCGGGCAATGTTTTAAATATCAAACTAGGCTGGCCGGTTCAACCGGTTAACCCATTAACCGGCCCTCTTTCCGGTTTGGACTAACCCTTAAACTCGTCTCCTGAAGAAAACTAGTATATTTTGATAAAACTGCTGAAAACTGCAGTTGAACCACTGAATTGGTCAAAGCGGAAGCAGTTCAGTTCAGCCTAACCGAGCGGGTCAGATCTACCAACACGCGTAAAAATTAATAAAAACTTTTAAACTGCGTTCGATGGCCGGTGTACTTCAACTCATGCAAAGCACCATAAGATTAAGTGGAGCATGAGGTTCATTTTATATAAGTGAAACAACTCATTCTTTCATTCTTTTCCCAATGTGGGATTGTGTAAACTAAAAGCCAAAACAGCCTTTGCTTTTATAAGAGAATTGAGACTGTCACCTTCAATTTTTGTTCGATGTGGGAAGCCGCATGTATCAGAGCGAGGCAATCTGCTAATGCTAGATTTTCAAATGTAATATGTGCAACAACTGTAATAACTTTTTCTAAGGAATTAGTGTAGAAAAAATTTTAAATGTTTTTTTATTTATAAATATTTATAGATACATATATTAAATAATGTATCGTTATACATAAATACATTTATACATACATATATTCCGATAATTTAAGTTTTTAAGTATTTTTTTGGGTTGTAATTTTAACATCTATATTTTTTAATATAACTTTTGATATATTTATTAGGTAATTATGACATCACAGTGCAATTCCGTTTGACCCAATGGTTGAACTAGTGACCCTTAACCTGATCACTTTTCCGATTTGATCAATGGCCCTAGTTTCAAAACATTGCTTTAAGATGATATTTTTTGAGATGTAAAGCTTCTAAATCTCCAAATTGATGAGGACTGGAAGAGGATACTAAATTGTATTTTCAGATGGCTGTGAGTGATGACCTATGAAGCATGGACACCTCTTTGAGGGCTACGTTTCAGTGTCGGACATGGACATGCGTTGGACACACGGTACTATCCAACATGTCCCAGAAGGTGTCCCCTTCTTTTTGGTTTTTTTGTAGCCAGACATGCTATGGACACGTTTTGGACACCACGGGGCCAAAAACATAATTTTTGAAACTTCAATTGGGGGTCAATTTGTAAAAAACAAAAATTGAAACAAGTAAATCAAGCCCTAACCTGCATGTTGAACAAAAACAGGAGAAGTGGCTGAGAGAAAACTGCTTGCTGCTTATTGCTCTTACGAAAGTATGTTCTCCAATTATCTTCTTCTTACTTCGATCTTCTTCTGCTTTTTGATCTCTCTCTCTCTCTCTCTCAACTGCTCTCTTTCTTTCTTCTTCTTTCGATCTTCTTCTTCGTTCAACTTCTCTCTCAATCGCTCTCTCTCTCTGTCAGTCGCTCTCTTTCTGTTTCTTTTTCAGTCTCTCTCTCTGTCGCTCTCATTCTCTCTTTCTTCATTTTTTTTCTTCTTTTTATGCCGAATAGCTCTCTCTCTTCTCTCTCTGCTATTTTTATTTTTTATATTGTTCTTTTTTTCTTTTTCTTTTTTTGGCTTTTCTGGTCTCTATATGTTATTTATTTATTATTTATATATATATATGTATATATATTGGCTAATTACTTTATAAGAACAAATTAGTTTTTGGTAATTTTAATGATATGTGTTTATTAATTTTATCATAGGAACCAATTTTTATTAATAGTGTTATTTTGTATTTTTTTATTACCTTTCAATGATTTTTTTTTTTATAATTTTATGACATGTAATAAATAAATTTAATTTTATATATTGAACGTGTCCCTAGCTTGTCGTGTCCCCCATTTTTTGAAAATTTGCGTGTCTGTGTGTCCGTGTTGTGTCACGTGTCTGTGTCCGTGTTTCATAGGTGATGACTTACGCCATTTCTAGTTTCAGTTGTCCAACTTGCGAAGTTGTACATCCATTAATCTTGTGATGTTAAGCTATCTTGGCTTCTGGTTTGATCATTAGGACCTGAATTGTGTTTGAGAACATGCATGCAGTCTATGTTTCGGAATCTGGGTTGTTATCTGTAATGCATGTAGCTTAAGCTGATAAGTTCCAATTGGAAAATGCTGTATCAAAGGAATCCATTTAAAAGTTGTTCCTCAGGGTTTATGGTGGGTGCGTTACTTAGGTAGTTGTGGTGGTTTGGCAATCCAAGTCAACTGTTATGAAGGTTTAGTTTTGTGTCTTTGATGGAAGTCAGTAACTTGTTACATAATAAATTGCCTCTTCATATCAGGACTACTTCATTTTTTATTTAACCCAAGACTTGTGTGAATCCCCTTGAACTCATAATAGACGTGCAACAGCACATTGATAAAAATTTCGATTTATTTGTGTACCATTTTTTTTCAAATGTGGTAGCTGTGTTCACTGATAACCTGATAACCTGATAACATTATGTTCATTGTTCTGTTATTCTTGGTGTGTCAGAGGTCTTAAAGCAGGTGTGGGACTTGTCTGATCAAGATAATGACAGCATGCTTTCTTTGCGAGAATTCTGTATTGCATTGTACCTGATGGAACGGAATAGGGAAGGCCGTTCTCTCCCTAGAACGCTTCCAACTGGCATTATGTTTGATGAGACACTGTTCCCTGCATCTGGTCAACCTGCTGCAGCTTATGGCAATGCAACTTGGAGACCTGCTCCTGGTATATTTGTTACTTATCTCAAAGTTGCATTTACCAATCATGTACCTATTTATTCATCTATATTATCATTATTGTCGATTTGTGAATAGGTTTGCAGCAAGCACAAGTGATGCCTGGTGCACAGCCAGCTACTCCTGCTAGAGCAAGACCACGAAATCAGGTTGCTGTTCCTCTGTCTGATGAAGACATTCAGCCCACTCAGAAAAAATCCAAAGTTCCAGTGCTGGAGAAGCATCTTGTGAACCAACTTAGTGAAGAGGAACAGAATTCACTGAACAAAAAGTTTCAAGAGGCAACTGACGCAAATAAAAAGGTACTTTCTGTTTTTGTTGTTTGCTAATTGTCTGCTTTTCTAAATCATGCATCCAAGGCATTGGATTCTTTTTTGGATTCTTTGATAAAATAATCAATGTCATTGTAAATGAAAGTCAAGCAGCAAGTCTCTTGGTTACATATATGTCCATGTAGACATCCATTCTCGTTTCAAGTCCCAGAACTTCCCTGCACTCATTGGGGAAATTAGTAGCGCATGCTCATCTCCTGTAGTCTGGAATACCAATTTGATAACTCATCAAGGTAGTCCAGCAGTTCAAAATTTATGATTGGGACCAACTGTAAACTTGGAAGTCTTGTGTTCAACTCACGTTGGTAACTCCGGGCTTACCAGATACCTTTAGCTCGTGCGTGGTTTGTGCGTGGTTGCATGTATCTATGATTACCCTGCAGGGGTGGGTCCAAAGTGGCCCTGCCTAGGAGGGTTGCTCATCAGCAGAAAAAAGGAAAAAGAAAATAGAAAATAGAAAAGAATACCTGTTTGATAAGGTGGTTACATTTTTGTCCACGTCTTTCAGCTATTGCTAGAGTATGTAATCTTAGTTAAGTATCAAAACACATTTGGGAATTCTATACTGGATTACTAATGAGGACATGTACGCTACTTAATTTATCAACGATTATTGCATTAGATTATGATTAAAATTGATTTTTAGCTTACTAATTGTGCTGAAGCTTCTTACATATCCATCTTACTTCTTGCCTCCCCCCCCCCCCCCCCCCTCTCTCTGCTATTTTTATTTTTTATATTGTTCTTTTTTTCTTTTTCTTTTTTTGGCTTTTCTGGTCTCTATATGTTATTTATTTATTATTTATATATATATATGTATATATATTGGCTAATTACTTTATAAGTACTACAACACAAAATTAAACATACCTCTGACCAGGCCGACCCATCTGTCAAGCAGCTCTCATGTTTGATGACTCTACTGTCAAAGCATTGCAATTACTGATTACCCTTGACACCTAAGTCAAAAACGCCTCATGCGACCCCCCCAACCACCTACCCACCACACAGATAGTTTTTTTTATTGTAGCACCTCCTAATTAAACACTAACCTAGACTGCAAACTGTTGGATCATCTGACTTGAATGACCCTCATTGTATTTCACTTTAGAATGCATGAAAGTTCCATTCCATTCCATTCAACCGAATCAATATTTAACAAATAATCTTAATTGTGCCAATTCTGGTTGTCAATACACTAGAAGAACCTTGACATGAATGGACAAAACGGGTTGATGATGAGATGTTTGTTGGAAGTTGGAACCATGCCCCAGTTTTTGGCGTAATTACATATTTACTTGTCATAAAAAAAATAATCATAAATAATCAAAAATCAAAGGGTAAATTACACCGACACCTCCCCTAAGGTTTACCTTAATATGTACCTCCCATGTAGTTTCAAAAATAACACTGATCTCCCCTACTTTTGAAAATAATACACAGATTCCCCCTGTTGTTAGAAGGACGTTAATAAAGTAACAAAAACAGTGACATTAGTCACAATAAACATGCAAATGCCCAAAATACTCTTGTCATCCTTTATAAAACAATATTTCCCCTTCTGACTATAATAATAATAATAATAACAAAAAGCTTTGTCTCTATCATTGATGTTCCAAACAGCCTCTCTCCATCCCCTTATACACATTCTCCATCTCACAATCTTACCCATCTCCAACTACATCTCCCAAAAGCTTTGAACACTTCATTTTCTCTATTTCCAATTCTCTTCTAAAATGGGAAACTACATCTCTTGCACCCTAAAATGTGTATAAGGGGATGGAGAGAGGTTGTTTGGAACATTAATGATAGAGACAAAGCTTTTTATTATTATAGTTAGAAGGGGGTGTATTGTTTTATAAAGGATGACAAGGGTATTTTGGACATTTGCGTGTTTATTGTGATTGATGTCACTGTTTTTGTTACTTTATTAACGTCCTTCTAACAGTAGGGGGAGGTCAGTGTTATTTTTGAAACTACATGGAAGGTACCTGTAATTAAGGTAAAACTCAGGGGAGGTCAGTGTCATTTACCCAAAATCAAAAAATCAAAAGGATCGGTAATTTTAAGCATGTGCATAGAATGTAATGAATGGTTTCATGTTAACCTCATACTAAAACTAAAACATGTTGAAGTGGAGAGATTATTGCATATATTGTCTATCAGACTATTTTTTTTTTGTCCTTTAAAAATTTTCTTTTCCCGCTTTGACATGTTGATACTGAAGGTTACTTGTTCTTTTTAATTACTTACACAAGGTAGCTCTTTCACGAGCTTCAGGTTAGTTTCTCTTGAACAGCTATTGGAAATCATGCTAACAAGTTCCTTCTGGTTACTGAATGAAATTATTGTTATTATTTTGAGTTCTACATAAACCTTTGAGTTGCTTGTATTGCCACCTGCAGAGATTTTGTTAATTTTTAGTGAAGAGACGTAGGTGATTGAAGTTAGGTCCCACTATATTTCATTTGATGAGCTGCTCTTTTTTATTTTTATTTTTATGGTGGTTATTTGTTTAAAACCTCTTGCATATCTAATTGGTGAAAATGGGTTTTGAGCTTCTAAGGAGACTTAAGTCCGGTATGTGGTGTACTTCCACCATTGACATGCTTGACTAAAAATTTTCAAGATAAGACCTCCATCTCTTATGTGCAAGGTGGAGTGGTGGGGGTAAGAAATGTGTAAATTTCCGAGTTTGAAGTTACTAACCATTCAACTAGAGTTTTGGCTCAGTTTATCTAATAAATTTATTTCCTGTTTGCTTTTAAAAATTTCTACATTTAATTTTGCTTAGATTTGTAGTGCTTTTAGCAACATAAAATTTCTCTCACTACTTGCAGGAATTGTATTTAGATTATTTTGTAAGATGTAGTTGTAGGTAATGTTTGAAATAATTATGACAAGAATATCTGAATGTGCATAAAGACCAAGGGTGTTAAAATCGGGATCCTATATAGGATCAGTGAGAGGGTCTTATGGATCAGATCGAGGATTGTAAGATTCTACTTTCTATTAAAAATAAAGTAAAAATACAAATCAGGATGATACATATATAATAAAAAATAAGGTGAAAAATCATAAATCCAGCGATCCTGCTTACAATCCTACTGTGATCCTGCACCTCCCCATACGATCCTACTTAACTTCTAGGCCCCCTTCTATCCCTTTTGAGCTTTTAGCAACATAAATTGTATTTCCTTCTCTCCTGTGTTGTTCTGATTCTTAAGTTCTTAACTTCTAGGGCCCCCCTCTACTACTAGGCCTTATTTTAATACTAATTTTGGACATCAAAATAAATGTATGTCATTCCTCTTTTCAAAACAAAGCACAAAATCAACATTTGGTTTTCACACCTATCCCTTATGGCTTTACTTTGGATCTGCACCTTATACAATATTCCTATTGAGAGGATTGAAATCAAGACAATACTGAATGCCATTGTTATGTGGTGTGGTTATTCCTCGCATTTTAATGATTATTGCTTGTATTTTGTGTTCTTGAGCTATGGCATTGTGCAAACTACTTTTGTCCTGGTAGAATGGGGTCTGTTGTGGTTATGGCTCACATTTTAGTGATTATTATTATTATCATTATTAATTATTTTGTGTTCTTGATTGCATCAATATTTACTTGAAGCTTCCCAATATTTAATTTTTTTTTTTTTTTTCTTTCTTTCCAATTGCAGGTTGAAGAATTGGAGAAGGAAATATTAGATTCTAGGGAGAAGATTGAGTTCTACCGCTCCAAGATGCAGGAACTTGTGAGTATTTCATTCATTTTTTTCGTAACACTTCTACTCTTCTACGTAATTGTCAGTGCTTACCTTTTGAGGAATAAATGAATCATTTTGTGGGTAAATTTTGGGATTATGCTTAAATGTTTATGTTCTGGGGCAGAACTAGGATGACTGCAGAATTGTGAAAGAGAAAGGGAGAGGGGGGTTGTTTGGAACATTAATGATAGAGGGGTGTGGGGTTATGACCAGTAAGATTAAGACATGGGCAACAGATAACATATACCATTAATTTAATAAAAACATAAAAATTTTGCAGTTATGGTGAAATTGGGTGAAGATAAATTACAAGATTAGATTGAAAGGAAATAAGAAAAGGAAAGTTGTGTTTAAAATTCCATACAAAATTGAAAATTTTATAGTGATTTTTTTTTTCAATTTCAATATATAGCTGATTACAGTCTTAGAAAAAGTGTCGCAATAAATATTGATCATCCCAATATTAAAAAAAATAAAAATTTGAATCTACATTTTGGCATAAGTGAGAAATTTTGAAAAAGAACTGATGTTCTAATTTATATGGACTATGACAATTTAACTGAAAAAATTTGACTAATAAAATGAAAAAGATTAAAACACATTTTTCTTTTTTACTTTCTTCTTTTGAAAGAGCTGTAAGTGATCATATTCTTCTTCATTCTTCTCTTCTCTTCTCAGTTCTCTCTCCCTCTCTCATTTTTCCTTGAAATGTTTTATTTACTCATCAATAAGGTTTTTAATTTATAATTTTGATTGAAGTCTCCCCACCTTGGTGTCTTAATTATTTGTACTCCATAAAATTACTAATTGTAAATTGAACTTTGAGAATTCCAAGAGTATCTATCTTCCTTTTTTTTTGGATGAGTCCGAGAGTATCTTGATCTTGACCCTTAATTGTGAAGGATTGCCTATGTGATACACAGGTCCCGTCCTCAGCAAACTTTCATTTCTTGGTATGATGTTACTTGAAGTTAAAGTCCCACAACGTGACATAGCATTGGAATTTGGAAGAACAGTGCAAACTGTTTAGACCAATTGCTTATAACTTCAGTATATAGAATTGTTGAAATTGACTTTGGGTGGTCTATTCAGAAGGAAATAATTCAATATTTGTTGGACTAACTAGGTTGCCCGCTCTCGTTCATTAAAGTGCAGGAACCCTTGCCCACTTCTCACTACATACAGGCACATATGTAGCCCATCACTTTGGGGTATAACCATAGTTAACACTTGCCTATTTATCACTCATCTGGGCTATGATGCTATGCGTTGCAAGTAGGGAACACTCCAACTAAAGAATTCTTAGGATCTATGTTCATAAAGGTATGACTGTAACTCTTATGTTGGTTGACAACCTTTTACAACCCTTTTTCTTTCTCCGGGCTTGGGATCAATGGTATAAAAAACAAAACAACCACTAAGCATGACATAGGTGGAGTAGAAATAGCTGCTGTCTAGAATTTCCACCCAACCACCAAGAAACTTATAAATCAATCCAATTTGATCTTTTTTCCACATCTAAAAGCCCTAAAAAGTGTTCCTCTTCCTATTAGAACTCAGAACCTTGACCTAGAGAATTTCCATTTTTCCCTTTGAAAAATCATTTGTAAGCAGAATGTTTCTTATTGATGTGTTCAGGTAGTACTATTCAAATTACCTTAAATTTATCTTTGGTCAAATTGTGTTAATTGTTCTGGACTTAAGTTGTTATCAATCATTTCAGGGTGCCATTCCATTTAGATCTTTCTGTTATAGGACTAGTCTTGGGCAGACATCTAGTCCTCCTCAATGTGCTGTTTGGAGGAAAATCTTAAAAGTCAGGTGTGTGCTAGGGGTGGATTAGCTAAATAGATTAAAGTAGTCTTATATGGCTTACCACATTCTCATTTCTGATAAATCTTTAGATAAATATGAAGTAAACTTGCATAACTTTTATGTTCTGTGTGATTTGATGGAAGAAAAATATATTTCTTTGTTTTTAGTTTGCAACTAAGTCCTTTTTCAGCACAAATATTAAATTTCAAAATGTTATATTTATACTTCAGTACTCTTAAATTTTCTGCCATTGGGTGTCAGGTATTATACAAAAGCAGATGTGACAATCGGCTAAATGAGATCACTGAAAGGACTACTGCAGACAAACGTGAGGTACTTCTTTTAGTTTTCAGGATTTGTTATATCATCTACAAAAACTTTGGTTTCCTTGGACTAATGGGAGCAACTTGTATTCCAGGCTGAGTCACTTGCAAAGAAATATGAAGAGAAATACAAGCAGAGTGGAGATGTAGCCTCTAAATTAAGTATTGACGAGGCCACATTTCGCGATATTCAGGTATATCAATTACTTCTTTTGGTTGACTGATGACCAGTAACTGGTTCAGCTCTGTGGTTAGTGTGAATTCCATGGTGCAGTCAGTACTAATGTGATGTGATTTACCCCGAATCCTTTGTCAAACAATATCATATTGCACTGAATCCTTTGTAGGAGAAAAAAATGGAGCTGTATAGGGCAATTGTTAAAATGGAACAAGATGGCAAGGCTGATGGTATTCAGGTATATTCTTGCGTTGAATGCTTTGTTGAGGCCATTTGGGACTTGTTGGAGTTGAGTTCTGTGGCCTCTGCAGGTGCATGTTTATCGAATCCAATCAGAACTGGAGGAGCTAGTGAAATCCTTGAATGAACGTTGCAAAAATTATGGTTTACGTGCAAAACCAACGACACTGGTTGAACTTCCTTTTGGTACTTCTCTATCATGCTAACCTTTTGGTGTAATTATGCTTCATCTCTGATCTTAATTCTAACTTCTCTCTAGTCAACTGTTTACTTTTCTTACTTTCTAGGCAAGTAAAGAGTCAAATAAATTATTTCTGATTACCTCTGCTGTTCATTTTGAGGCATGGTAATTAATGTAAGAAAGGAGTTTAAATGTAGAATTCACACATCGGGATAACTTTTTTTCTAAGGGTTGGTGATGAATTTACTGACTAAAATCACTCCTGGACACTGGCATATGAGATCTAAAAATGATATTTACTTCTGTTTTACTTTTCGTATACTTTGTTATGCGGTTGTATGCTTGGTTATTGGTTTTCATCCCTTTCTGAGCCGCATATTCATTTCAAGCTCACAATGGAATTTAATATCGGAATGTGCAATCGCTTTAACTAGGCTGATTAAAGTGGTTCAGCTTAGCTTTCATGTTGGTAAGCAAACATATCCTACAGGATGTGAATTGCAGGTTAACTCTTTTAGTTGAACTGGATTCAGTGATCAATTTCCATCACAGCCTGTTCTTTTTTTCTTTTTTCTTTTTCTTCTTTCGTTTGTCTTTGTTTTTGTTTTTTGTCCTTTGACAGATTTCTAGTTCTTCGGTTGCTGATGTGACAGTGTTTTGATGATTTAAGATTATATTAAACTACAAAAGTTTTAGATTGTGGAAAATTGTATGGTAATATGCCTTATTTTCCTTTTTCTACAAATCTTGTATGTATCACCCTGCCTCTGTAAGCATATAGTTGACAAAGTCAGAAATTTTACTCCTATTTTTAATTCCATGTTGGTCACAATCAGTCAGGTGTCTTAAGTGGCCACTTTGTCTTCTTTATGACATGCTACACCGTGGGGACTATCTGCCTATTGCTTCTTGGCAAAGTTTGAACAGCATGGAAAATACTAACTGTGAAGTATTTGCATCATAAATGTGCAGTGGCATATCAATTATTTAGAAGACAAATTAATTTGACATGACTAATGATATGCCAGGAGAAGAAAAGTTGAACGAACTTGAAGTTTTATATCTAGCAAACCAAAAGCTCAAAATAAGTTTTCCTTGCTTTAATTGTATTTTCATTATTTGTTTTCATTCTGCAATAATTTTCTTCTTTTCTTCCTTCGTTGTTGATTTTGTGAAGGCTGGCAACCTGGGATTCAAGAAGGAGCAGCTGATTGGGATGAAAATTGGGATAATTTTGAAGATGAAGGTATGCCAAACAGTTAGGATATAGGATTAAGTGAACATTTGATGATGAATCTGTTGTCATCCTTACTAGTTGTTACCATATGTTGCTCTTCCCGGCATTTAAAAACATACTCCCTCTTGATCAGACTAAATCTTTTGTGGATTGAAATTCTTTTCGTATAGAGAATTCGAAGCTAAGATGTGTAAGTTGTAGTTGCGTTATAATACTGATGAACTCTTGCCACTTTCCAGGTTTCACATTTGTCAAAGAACTTACTCTTGATGTGCAAAATGTCATAGCCCCTCCCAAACCAAAATCCTCACCACTTCAAAATAAAGCTTCTTCCGCGAAGGAGGGGGTAACAGATGTTTCCTCATCTAATGGTGATCAGAAGTCAGAGACATCTAATGCTGATGGTAAGTCAGAGACATCTAATGCTGATCGTAAGTCGGAGACGCTACCAAGTGGAGAGGAAAGGATTCCTGATGATGCTCACAGTGAAGAGGGTGTAACTAGAAGTCCTCCTGACAGCCCAACTCCTGCTTTGGGGAGCCCATCTAAAAAATTCCAAAATTCCCCATCTAGAAAGAGCTTCAATGCAGATGGTTCGCCCCATGCTGCAGAGACCCTTAGGTACGAGTAAAAATATATATCTTTTGATGCTTTCCTTCTGCAGTGGCGTTTAACTTTCCATTGATGTCTAAACCTTTGAGTTTGTGTCATCATATATTGTAGCACAAACAACTGCTCTTCCCTGGTTTTCTGCATCATCCATCTTTAGCTAGTCTTTTATTAAAGATTTTGAATTTCTATGTATTTTACTAGTGCAGTGAACATGGGGGTGCTGAATCTGTGCTCTCTGGGGACAAAAGTTTTGATGAACCTAGCTGGGGTACATTCGACACTCATTATGATACAGACTCCGTCTGGGATTTTGGTTCTGGTCCTACTAAGGTATATGAAAATTCCTTGATGTGTGTGGCAATCTACTTAGCTCTGTTTATCAATAAGAGGCATGCAGTGCAGCCGTGCATGTTTAGTTTTTATCCATATTGCTTTGATCATTCATCCTCATCATTCTTTGATGTTGAAGTGAGAAACCTTTTCCAGCATTTATGGTTTAACCAATGGTGTTTAATGTTACTGGCTTCTTTTTATGTATCTGAGCTTTATTTTTCCCCTTTGTTTGTTGCCCTGGTCAATTATCCTTTAGACGTGCATGCAAGTACTAGTTTACTTCTTTGAATTTGTTGTAACTCTGAAAATACTGGTCCTTTAAAGTGGCACCTTCTGGGAAATGAAACACTTGGCATTGGTAGCTTGTACTCATGAATTTCTTATTACTTCAATTGGACATGTTGTGATAAAACAGGATGTTAGACAATGATAAATTGTTGTGCAATGAAGGATGTACCCACACCATAAGAGAAGCATGGGTTTATAAAAGAGTTGTAAAGGCATTTCTCATCCAAATGGTGTGGGTAAGAAACTGAGAAGAGTGGGGACTAGAGAAGGATGGGGTATAGGTTGTTTATTATGCTTTCTTGTGTCAAGAGTGGTCAAGTAAAGAGTTATTCTCCTCGCTTCCACAACGAGCTAAAGGTCCTGTTTGGTAGAGCTGTGGAAAAGTGATTATAGCTTATAGCCTAACAGCTTATAACTTATAGCTTATAGCTGTGAACATAAGCTGATTTTTGACTTATAAATTAAGCTTCTCCTCCCCCACTTAAAGAATAAGTTGATTTTTGACTTACAAAAAGCTATAAGTTGCATTGTTAAACTGAACCAAACACATCAAAATAGTTTAAATTAAGCTAAAAACTGAAATAAGCTGGAAATAAGCCCTACCAAACAGGGCCAAAGTTAAGAACGCGTTAATCCCATTTAGAGTCATATCTGCCACCTTGCTTTCACCACAACTTTGTTTGTCTATATTTAGGAAGTTGAATCATATGATATATCCATGATTTTGTATTTGAACAATATTTAGATAATTCATGCCATCACGGTTTCTAGGACGGGGCTGCAAGAATATTATACTTATGCATTATCACCTGATCTAGCTGATTTTAGCTCAATGAACCCATTGTGTGTGAAAATCAACGGTGTGAGCGATTAGAGACGATTTTATGTTCTATGAGAGCCTGCTCGGAAGACTGGTAGACACACAGGAGAGAGAGAGGCTCCATTACCACTGTACCGGCACTGAAGGGGGTTTCTCAAACCTGCTCATAACCTAGAGTGGTTTGAGGCCATCAGACAGAATGGACTATGAAACATAGGAGTAGGGGTGTTCACGGGTTGGTCCAGGACGGGTTTAGTCTCAATCTGCTGGTCGACTGAACATAGTCGAGTTTGCAATTAGTGAAACTACTTTTGAACCATTTGACTTTGGAAATCGACCGAGCATTTGTTCGGTTTGTCGGATCGGTTGCGGTCGAGTTAAACGGGTTTGACAGATAGAATGTTGGACCTATTTTAAAATAAATCAATTGTTAAAAAAAGTTAAAAACCCTAAATCAAAACATAAACAAATAAAATAAAATAAAAATTTTAAACCCTAAATGAAATATGAAAACATAAACTAAGTACAAACCCTAAATCAACCATCATCGTCAATTCAAAAGATTTTAAACCAATGAATCAAAATATGAAACTATTAACAAACGAAAAGGTAAAAAAAATCAGGACCAAAAGTAAAAATCCTAAGAAAGATACCTCAAATATTCGGAAGATTAAAACCCTCTTCTAGGGTTGAAGATTGACATTGTCGCATTTATGCTTCAAACTAGCTAGCAGATTGAAGAAAGAACATAAGGGAGAACTAACGAGATCGAACCAAATGGCGATAGAGAGATGATTGAGGAGGGAGGGAGAGAGGCAGGCAAAGAGTCATCGTATCCTCTACTGCTCTGCTGTTTGGTTTTTCAAAAATATGAAAGTGTGTAAGTATTGTAAGTACCAAGTGTTTGGAAATATGAGAGAGCAATTTTTTTTTTTTAGTATTGTAAGTGCCAATTGTTTGGAAATATGAGAGAGAAAGAGAGAGAGGGTGTCTACTTTGAGAAGTCATTTCATCACGTGATATAGGCAGAGTCAGCATTCAAAGATTGCAATCTCAAAGGTTTGAAATTAAATGCATAGTTCACAGGTGGATGGCTGAAGAAAGCTAATATGTAAGCCATTTTCGGTCGGGTTGGTTTCGATGGCTAATTATACATTAAATCTGTTGCCGACCGCGGACTCAATAATTTTCCTAAATCAGAACTGTTGCCGACCCAAAAGCATTTCGAAACCGTCCGTGGTGATGTGGGCCGAGTCGGGCCGAGTTGATTTCATCGGGTACGCGGTTTGTATGAACAGCCCTACATAGGAGGGACATACTTTTGGAACCGCTCAACAGAGTCAAGATGTTTGGGTGGATGTTCACTTGGTTGAGCTTAGCAGCACCATGTGCACTGTACTGAGAGTGTCTTTAGGGATTTCCCTTGAGCACCCAGGTCCAAGGCTAAGGCCTCATGACTGGCTTGGCTTGAGCCAATAGTGCAATCAAGAAACATGAGTGTCTGTTTCAGCAATCTGTGTTTCACCTCACAAGCCTGACAGATGGGACCCTCTGTGATTTGGGGATGGTGTGGTGAGGTTGTGATGGTGTCAATCATGTACTCACCAAACTGGATGTCGTTGAATTTTTGGCCTTGTTAGTTTCGTTGCAAAGCACCTGACTCATTGAAAATTTTGCTTCATTTTTTATTTTATATCTCAAATTACAGTATATACTATATATGACAAGAAGAATGTTTGTATTTGATTCTGGTTGAAAGCTAAGCTTTGTGTCCCAATACTATAAAATCTTGTAATTTATAGCTAAAAGGAAAAAAGCATTTTACAAATAGATAGATAGTGGTGTAGAAGGTCAGAAATTATACCCCAAACTAAGTATGGGCCTAAGCATTAAGGTCGCCACAAAGAGGCGACCAGGGATGAAAAAGGAGCATGGGCCAAAGCCCAAGGGAAGTGGGCCGAAGCAGGTCCGACCAGCCAGGGGTCCAAGTGGACTTCATAAAGGAAAATACCTAAGTCAAGTTGCAGAGGCAACACCTGCAGCGGTGAAGTTGCTGAGGCACTTTGCCTCAGTGCCGCCATTCCTAATATCTTTAGTTCCGCTGCCATCTAAAGTTGCTGAGTGAGGAAAAGAGAAAGCCAACACAACTAAGTTGCAGAGGTAACACTTGCGACGGCCAAGTTGCGGAGGTCAAGTTGTGGAGGCACTTTGTCTCAGCGCCGCCATTTCAAGTATCTTCGGTGCTATCGCCATTCCAAGTAATATCAGTACCACAACCATCTGGAGTTGCTGAAGAAAGGAGAAAACCGAAGCAACCAAGTTGTAGAGGTAGTACTTGCAGCGCCCAAGTTGCGGAGGCATTCTGTCGGCGCCGCCATCTCTAATATCTTTGGTCCTGCTGTCTAAACTTGCCGCGGGAAATGACTACCTCAGCAACTACGACCGCAACAACTAAGTTGCAGAGAGAATATCCTGCCAAGGTGATAGCAGCCTTTGAGAGAGGCCTCTCTCTGCAAGTAAAGGCTAATGCTTGGCGTTGATAGCAAGCCTCATGGCATTACTAGTCTAGGGCTGATAGCAGACCTAGAGATACCAATTTTATCGCGGCGATCCCCGTGAAGATGAGAGTAGGGTAGCCCGAACATAAGGGACTCCCTTTCCATTACCTAGGTCATGGACCTGCCTTAGTCGCACAGGCAGGACTAAGGAAGCCCCCTTGGGCTTGGTACTAAGACACAGCATGGCTGATAGCAGGCTTGGTTGTAGCCTTGGCCCTGAGAAGCTGAGGAGTTTGTGGTTAGGTGGCTATGGGTGGAGGCTTCGCTGAGGTGAACACAAACATAGCCGATAGCAGACTAATGGAGTCTTGAGAATGTATGTACTGGTTAAATAGAACTGAGAAGGCAAGTGCAGCGGCAAAGTTCACCACTGCAAGTGCACTTGTTGAGGTTCAAGCTGAGAAGGCAAGTGTAGAAGCAAATGCTCCCGTTGCAACTGCACTTGCTGAGGCTCAAAGGGAGTTGCTGAGGCTCAAAAAGATAGTTGAGGAGGCAAACAGATAGTACACAGTACATGCAGAGGGACACGTGGCACCTTCAGCCTGGTGGCTCAAGGCAGAATATTCTATGTGATCCTCTGGGACACATGTCTTCTCTTTATTTGGCCACTTGGTGTGCTGTTGGCACTAAGGAAAAGTCTATAAATAGGACCCATTTCCCAAGGTTCAAAGAGAAGAATTTTGAGGATTTGGGGGAGATGCAGCCCATTTTGGTACTGCCCTACATTTCTTCTGGAGCAACTTGCTTCACCCTCACCTAGCTATACACTCTTCAACTCCCAGACAGTTGCTGCTACTCAAACTCCAACCACTTCCATCATTCTTGCACCATTAGTATAGTTTTGTCTCTCTAATCACCTCTCTAACCTTGAACCCCCTTACAAATGGATGTCATAAATTCGTAATAATATTACTTTATTAAAAAATCTAATATAGAATATCTTAGGGTTTTCGTCCAATTTTTAAACCAAACCAAACAAAAGTCTTATTGTCCCATTTAAGTGACATTGGTTACATGAATCATTTTTCACTATTCTGCTTTGTCAAAGATTTTTTGCTTAGTTAAATTAAAGAAATTTATTTTTTTTTACTTACAGCATCCCATGTCTTTTTTTGCACAGTAAAATGTCCCCCTTTTTTTTCATTTGAGAGATTTTTTTGAACTTGATTATTCATAACATTGGATTATAGATGTGGTGTCGTGTAGCTGCATTGCTCATCTGTTCAAACCAAATGCTATTGTAGGAAATGGATGGTGATAATTTCTTCGATTCTGGTGGCTTGGGTTTGCCTCCAATAAGAATCAGTTCCTCTAACAGAGATACGTTTCAAAGGAAGAGCACAATTGCTTTTGCAGATTCCATTCCAAGCACCCCCCTTCACAATTCTGGCAACTCCCCACAGGCCGATAACAGGTTTCCAAAGAAGAACACATTTGTATTTGATTCTGTTCCGAGCACCCCGCAGGCTGATAACCTGTTTCAAAAGAAGAGCACATTCGCATTTGATTCTGTTCCGAGCACCCCACAGGCAGATAATTTGTTTCAAAAGAAGAGCACATTTGTATTTGATTCTGTTCCGAGCACCCCACAGGCCAATACCCTATTTCAACAGAAGAGCACATTTGCATTTGATTCTGTTCCGAGCACCCCCATGTACAACTTTAGCAACTCTCCACAAAGGTTCAGTAAAGGGTCAGAAGATAGAACATTTGATAGCTTCTCGAGATTTGATTCGTTCAATATGCATGACAGTGGAGTTTTTCCAGCAAACGAGTCGCTCACGAGGGTGGATTCGATCCGCAGCACTACAGACTCCGATTATGGTCAAGGGTTCTCAAGATTTGATTCCTTCCGCAGCACTAGCGAGTCTGATTATGGTCAAGGAGGGATATTTCCACCTCGGGAATATGCAAGGTTTGATTCTATCCGTAGCACCAGAGACTCAGATGATCGTCATAGGTTCCAATCCTTTGATGATGCAGATCCATTCGGGTCAAGTGGGCCGTTTAAGACCTCACTGGATAGTCAAACTCCAAGGAGAGATTCAGATAATTGGAGAGCTTTTTAGTCTAATAGTTCAGTTTCTGATTCATATTCATTTTTTTTCGATTTCATTTGAAGCCGTTCACGTGAGGTTTGTGGGTTGGTGTCACTGTCATGATCCTTTCTTTCTTTTCTTTTTTTTCTTTGTTGTAATTTTTTTTGGGAATTTGATATGGAGTATGTGACAATAAGTTGAAGGACATGAGTTGTGGATTTAGCACATGTATAATTTTGGTTATTTCATTATTTTATTATTTTTCCCCCTCATCTTTTGATTATATATACTGATGAATTTTTTTTTTCACTGTTAATTTGTCCTGTATTTTACCTAGATGTAAAAAATAAAAAATAAAAAAAAAAGAGGAAAAAGAAAAGAAAAATAAAAAAAAGAGAGTACAAATCTCATGTAATGTAATGTCCCCTACTTATTATATTTCCCGTATTATATTGTCATTTCTTTTGACTTCTGTTTGCCTGCCTCTTGCTTTCGATCAGGTGTTAGAAATTAGTTTTGTTCATAATTTTGACACGAGATTTTCAATTTTCAAAATTTTTATATGGTATTCTAATGCACTTGTATTTTAATAATTTGATTACATCATGAGAGTGTTAATAAAGGAAACACTATAGTACACAATTTTTAATGAGTGTGTATTGTATGCATCTTATAATTAAAAAATAAAATTACAAAATTTTATACTTTTTAAGTCATACCTAAAAAAAATGTCATAATTAAACATAATATGGAGCATAATTAAAATAATATTGTAATTACAAAATATAGTATAATTAAGGTGTATATGATACACTCTTTTTAAAGGGGTTTATATTATAATTTGCCATTAATAAAATATGTAAATCAAACCAAATCAAATCAAGCCTTAAGTCTCATCGAATGGAATTGGTTGCATGAATTTTTCTTCTTCACTCGACTCTATTCAAGTCCATTTCGTTAGTCAAATTAACGAAATTCATGTCTCTGTTTATTATACTAGTTCACGTCAATTTAGGTCTACCATTTTTCCTAACAATACCATCTATCGTCACTGTATTGCATTTCTTCACTACTACCTTTGTTGGTCTTCATTGTATATGATCAAACCATCTCAATCTATTCTCTCTCAACTTATCTTCTATCGGTACTACTCCAATCCATTATTGAATATACTAATTCCTAACTCTGTCTTTTTTAGTCGTACTACACATCTACCTTAGCATACTCATCTCAACAATACTCATCTTATCTATATGTTGTTTCGTAGTTGCTCAACATTCCATTCCATACATCATCGTTGTTTTAATCTAATGGGTACTCGTTTATCGCACAATACTCCAGATGCACTCCTTTACTTAATCCGCCACGCCTTAATTCTGTGGACTACATTCACTCCAATCTCCCTAGTCGTTGAGATAATCGATCCAAATAACAAAAATGTTCACTCTTAAGTAGTTCTTGATTCTCAATTTTAAATCCTCCTCTGCTTCCATTGTGGCTATGTGGACTGGAGTGTACTATTGGGCTCATGACACCCACTAAGGGTCCCGTTTTGATAATCCAAATTATTCAATGTGTAGAACTCGTCGAGAACTTCATTTTTGTAAAAAAAAATCAGGTTGATTAGATATTGATAGTCCCTTGATCAAAATGCATTTTTGTCATTGACAAAAAATCACGTTTACTATGTGGACTGGAGTGTATTATTGGGCCCATTGACAAAAATGTGTTCTGATCAAGGGGCTATCGATATCCAATCAACGTGATTTTTTACAAAATGAAATACTCAACAAACTCTACACATTGAATATTCGGATTATCGAAACGGAACCCGTGGTAAGCCCACAAGCCCAACAGTACGCTCCAGTCCACTCTCCTTTGAAATATCACTAGACATGCACACATAGTATTTATGATCAATGCGACTAAATAAAAAAAAAAGAAGAATTCAGCTTCTTTTAAATTGATCATCTCAATTTGAGAATGCGTTTGAGTTTAGTAAGTTAGTTTGGGATCAATTTCAACATTCACTTTTTATGACACTTTGAGTAGAACATTTATGTAAAAAACAAAGATGATTAAGTATTAGTAGTTATATGTTTGAATCAAATTGTTATTACAAAAATAAATGGTTGTTTTTTAAATTATATTTGCCCTCCATTTTTTAAAAATAAATAAGATTCAAATACATAATTGAGAGGATAATTTTTAAACAAATTGGGTCGAGCTAAGAAAAGTCTTATTTGGAAGTCAGGCGACACAATGAGCCAAGATAAGAGCTGATGTAGCTCGGTCTTGGGCTAAGAAGACACTAGGCCGGTCAAAGATGGGTTGCTTAGGGCTGAACCTAGCTATCTGAAGGTAGTCCTTTATTGGACCGAGATGTTGTCAATGGAGAAAGGCGAGCTATGTATAGCTCGGCAGGATGCAATTCGGTAAATCGGCTTTCAATCACACGGCCCGAACGACAGGGGACCGAGATAAGGCAGCTCGGTCAGGAATGTATATCCGAGCATAAGGGAGTGGCCATCTCACTTGGCTTGTAGTGATAAGAGTGTTTTAAGGATAAGCATTATCCTTAGGCATGAGCCTTCTAGGAGGACTCTGCATAGAGTCCTACTAGGATTGTGCATACTATCTCACTTGGTTGGTAGTGAGTAGAGTGTTATCATGATAGACACTCTTCACTGGGAGTATGATTCTTAGGAGAACTCTTATAAGGAGAGTCGGAATCCTACTAGGATTATGTCAGGCAAAATCTATAAAAGCTCATAGCATGACCTATATACAGGTATCACAATTCTTACTCTAGAATACACAGAGTTTATTGTCTATTGTCTAGTTGTTGACTTAGGCATCGAAGGAGTTTCTGGCACTCATCCGCTGGTTAACTCACGTTTGTGTTTTTCAGGTAGCAAAACAACGTTGTTTTGAGGAATGCAAACTTGATCAACAGGATTATACGAAAATATTATTTCGCGCTTGTACAATAACTATTGATATCCAATTATCTTGATTTTGTGTATGAATATTCTACTCAACGAGTCGTAAAAAATGAACAGTTTTGATCACCGCAATAGATTCCAAAATGAATGGCTTATTTTTAAAAACATACTTCTCTTTTTTTTAGTGACAAACATGACCAATTAAATAGGTTGCGATTATCAGATTGTCTTAATTTTTGTGTGTGATTGATATACAAAAAATATCTGATAAAATGAACGGTTCAAATTTTTGAAATAAAACTCATAATAAATTCCACAAGCTCAAAGAGTGCCATTCAATCCAAACCATGATAAGGAGATAATTAAATTTCTAAATGAAAATTGATATATGTGTCCATTTTTTAGACCCACTTTAATCATGTGTGTGTAAAATGATTGATTGATATTTAGAAAAGATATGAACAAAAGATTTACCTTTTTTTCTTTTTTATCAAAGCAAAAGAATTATCTTAACTATTATAATTAATTTAAAAGTGAATGTAAGTAATGCCCATACCTAAATATAAGATTATCAAGAAGGAACATTCTAATATATACGAAAAATTTTATTTCTATACACTTATTTATTTTAATGCACATTATTTTTTAATACACACACTTATAAATTTAATTAGATATTATTTATCTCATTTTCCACGCCATATGTTTTAATTATAACCCTTAACTCAAATACTGTACACACACTTTTAACCCAAACACACACTCACATAGCCACCGACGAACATAAAGTCATCAGGTTTGTTTGGTTTGCTTTTAGAAAAGTTATTTTAAAAAAAAAAAATTCAAAATTTTGTATGGTTTGTTAGTTCTCTCAAAAAAAATTTGAAAATTACTTTATCTCTCTTACACACGAATCAATCACTTTTCTCTCTCATCTCTCATTCTTAATCATTTTTTCTCTTACACACATCTACTCAATTATAACAAAATATAAAATTATCCCAAACTTTCAAACTCTCGCCCAATTTTTTTAATGAAAATTACTGCCTCAAAAAACCAAACACACCCATCATCTTCGATTCAATCCTCTCTCTGAATCACTTCTCTCTCTCTCTCTGCACTATGTTTCACAAATCTCAATCTTAATCGCCTCTCCAAACCCTAGTTATTCCCTCTTTTTGTAAACCAGTTCAGCTTCATCTTCGAATCTGTATTTTTTTAACATCCATAGCCCTAATTTTCCCCATCTTTGGAGCTTCAAGCATCGAAATCCTAAAATTTTATGGCTTCTAAGATCATAAGCTAAGAACTTTCCATTTCATTACCATTATCATCATTGTCGAAACTAGGCCAAACTACAGTGATTTTTGAGCTCGCCGTTAATTTTTTCAGTTTCATGATTTGAAAATGTCGGTGGAGAGATCATTTGAAGCATGAGAAGAGGTGACAGGCTTGCACAGGGATTTTCAGGTTAATTCTATCTCACGTAACTCCTCGATTGTTTTCATGGCCTAATTCTCAAACACCGAAGCTATTCGATATCGATTTCCCTATCCAGAATTCTAATGGAAGGGATTTTGGGTTTGCAATTGACGTCATTATAGTCATTTTACTTTATGTTGTAATTATTATTAAAATAAAATTTCATTAAGTGTTTACTGAAATAAATAGGTGTGTAAAAATAAAATTGTCAGTACATACTCTTTTAAAAATTGTGTACCGTATGTACTTTCTAATTATATTATTTTCTTTTTTAATTATAACTTATGGGTTCTTTAATTATGTCTCATATTGTGTTTAGTTGTGATATTTTTTTTTAATTATAATTAAAAAAATAAAATTATGTTTTTTTTTATTTTTAATTATAAAATTCATATGGTGGATACCCCGTGCACCATAATATTTCCCAATAAAAATACATGGCGGTATTGATAACGAAGGCATGGATCAAGAATAATGACAATGAGAAGTCCACGCGAAGTTCCACACGAAAGAAACTGACCTAGGCACCATTTGGGGAGAAGAATATGATTTTTTTTTTAAATTATTTTAATCACAAAAAATAAAATAGGTTATTTTGATCTAAAAAAATAAAATATCACATCTAATCCATAATCATTACACTCTTTTTTCACAAAAAAAATCACAAAAATTAAAAAGTCAAAAAGCTCTTCCTAAACCAAATTTTTTAACCCGCTAAAATAATTTAAAAAGCCAAAAAATTAAAAAGTCAACCCACTTTCCAAACCAATCCCTAAGCATCTTCCGGAAAATATTATTGATGTTATGTCCGAGAATATTTAAAAGAGCTAATAGTAATGGTTTGC